TTTAAAATCGAATGACATGCCTCGTGAAAGTATAAAGTGTATCTGGAGTCCACGCTCATGACGAATGCACTAGACTTTTTTGCGGAATAGTTTGAAAGAACACTCGATGCAAATAAACATAACTAGTATACGGCGCCGTGGTGTGGGTAGGGGGACGCACAAGTGTTCCGACTTGAAGAGGGCGCAGCGCCTCCCCACCTCGCCTCGACTTAATGCCGTAGTAGATTTTTTTCATCCTATAGTGCGGCATTTGCGAAACCGGCTCGGCATAAAAGTATCAACGGCCCGAATAACTTTTTTCTTAAATAGTTCTACGCACAAATACAGCCGCGACAGGTTTGCGATAAAAAGTATTTCGATGGCATGTGAAGTCTACCAATCCGAAGTGGAATCGATCCTAAAACACTCTTTTTGGTGGAAACCAATAGTGGGACAAATAATACAACAATATAGCCTGTTTATGAGAAGTATTTGTTGGCAACACTAAAGGAACTGTCATTCTATGTGTTATAAATTAAGCTGTATGCAGCATTCTGGTCTTTTTGGCTGTCAACAAGAAGTAGGTATACGCGATAGAGCTGCCCAATCAGTATCATAAATTAAGTATAGCAAATAAGAAATTATTTCAGTGTTATTGTAGTATAATGTAAAACTACGGTGATTTGATAAAAGTATTTGTATTTCTACCTTTTTAATAAAACAAAGTAAAGCTAATATATTTGCGACTGAAATTTTGGTATTTATCATGTATTTGTCTATGACTATATCTAGTTTCCGATAAACTTATAGATCTCTAAATACAATACTATAGTGTGTAACTTTAAATGAAAAGAATCAACTGAAGCATATCACTTCCCTTTTTTCATAAAAAAAATCTATAGATAAGCCTTCCGAATAGGGGCTGTATTATATACGCGGGTAAGGGATGAAAAGCGGGGGTAGTTTTTACGACGAACATACACAGTTTCCTTTCTGTTCGTGATGCGATAGGTAAATATTCCTCGTTGGAGGTGTATGGTTTTATTGGGTATGGTTTGATTTCGGCGATTTTCACTTGAAATGCCGACGGCTAGCTGCTATGTTTGTTTACGATGCTTTAAACGAAAAATCTCTCAATGCGGTTATTTGAAATTTCGTCGGATGTATCCCCACGACTGGCGTCGTGATATGGTCATAAAGTCATATAGCATTGTCATAGAACAATAAATTATTAATACAATTTATTTTGAATAAATAATAATTCCATATTTTGATATCATTGCTTGTAACAAATGATATATTTCTATAATTTATGTACATAAAACAGTTTGCAATATTCGCACAGGCTTAGTTCTAATGTAGGTGACATTATTTTGCAAACTTAACAATAAGAAAGAAGTATTTTAAGAATGTCAAAATACTTTCATGTTGATATTGAGGTTCCATTATAATCCTGTTTAATATAACCTATGATTTACCACTATGGCATGGACATAACATTACTCGCATTTCTTTCATTCGTCATTAAAAACTTGCAAGCTATGAAACCCATGAATACCCTTGACTTCTTATAACTCGACTTTATATAATCGCAAATTCTTGCATTACAATAATTCATATATACTTTGATAATTCTCATGTCGAATGTGACATCGTACTTCTATTTATATAAATAGCACCCGGAGGACCGAGCTTTGCTCGGTTTTTTTTTTGGTAAATCGTGTATTTTGGAAATTACATTTAGATACAAATTACTGAGTAATGAAATATGCATAATATTTTTCGATCGACAAAAAATTAAAAATAAAGAAAGCAATGATCTGGAATCGAAAAAAAAGTAAAAACATAAATGTGTAAATGATCGAGACGCGAACCACGGTCGTCTGTTTTGGGGCCGCCCGATTACCGACCGAGCTATTATGACATTTTCTCTTGCAGCGAAATTTACCGTCATATTCGAATTATATTTTTCATTCCCTGAAAACAGGGATAAAAGAACATTTTCTAAAAATGAAACCTAGCTAGATCGATTTTTCGCCCCCGAATCTACGCACATACTAAATTTCATGAAAATCGCTGGAGCCGTTTCCGAGATTCCGATTATATATATATATATATATATATATATATATACAAGAATTGCTCGTTTAAAGGATAAGATTGTAACCAAAAATAGGAGTGACCGTGCTATAACAGGCGTATAAATTATATTAACAGTTCCAAACACGTAACCATTTCACTGCCTGGAACGTTAAATTGCATGCTCATATAGAACTCAATAAATGAAAGTGTGCAGCTATTAGCTTCATCAGAGTTATTACCGACAGCACTCAGTAGCGAGCGTAAGGCGTCATTCCTACTCGTAAATCGCGACGCGGCTCAGATAAATTAACGCCTGTCGGCTCTTGGAGTTCCATTGTGAACGTCACAGCGTACAGAAGCTAACTCTGTGTATGCTTGGGATTTTTTTCGGCCTGCCGTCTTATATAGGCATATAAGTAGTTCCAATTTTGATGTGCTTAACGCAATCTTATGTCAATCGTTCAATTTGTTAATTTCACTTGTAACGAATGATATACCTATTTCTATAATTTATAAAACAGTTTGCAATATTCGCACAGGTTTATTTCTAACGTTATGTATACCAATCTTATTATCCCAACGAAATAAATAATATATAATGTAATAAAATTAACTAAAAATTACAATAAAAAAAAATTACATAAAGCAGACACATGTAATACGAGAGAACGATTCGAAAATCGTCAATCAGTACAACACGATTTATAATTTCGTGAAATAGTGCTCATTTAATTTTGCTTTAAGTGATAAACTTACTCAAAATTATTTGAAGTAAATAACGAAACATATCTTAACATATCGTCGATAACCCATACCTAAAACTCCCTAGTACTTTGTAATGATTAAGAAACGGTATCATTTGTTGGATGTGTAAGAGTTTACGGTAAGTAAATGCTAAGACGCGGTTGGCTCGTAGATCCTGATTTACCTTGGTTCACCTTTATTTTTGTTGGACTTAGTGTTGACAGCAAAAGAGTGATGGTGGTGGATTATACTACTATCACGACCCTTGCTTTTTCATCAATAGTGGTCATTGAAAAGCTTTTTTTTTTTGCAGAAACTTTGTGTAGTGGCTGTTAGGCAACATGGCTTAATTTTGGGTAATATTTTGACAGGAATCATATGATAATTATAGAATAATTTCTCGCTAACAAGATAAGCTCTGTTCCTACTTAAATGAATAAATGATATTTATCAATATTTTAGGGTATTAATACAGTGGATTTTTAATGTGGTTTAACGGTTCTCGCATTTTGCGAGTTTTCATGTTACTCCTATGTTTCACACGAACATTAAATACATTTATTTAATTCCTGTGATAGACGTCGAAATAAATGGAGAAAAAATTTTTCATAGACTCTATGACATTTTGTAATTGTTAAATTTGCGATGACCCCAATAATACTCTACTATCATTCATCGAAAATTTTTTCTCCAAACTAACACCGTTGAATCACTCCTCATCGTCAGAGCATCCCTGTGTATTCCACTACTTCAAAGGCCACATTTCTATCGGCGCTATGCCCGAAATAAAATCCCCATTCATACCTCTAGGGTCGGTGTCGTTTGACAGCCGCGTAAACTCCTAACTCGCGATATTGTGACATAAGGTGTTTAACATAAATAATGCGGGAACAGATGTGCTACGCCGCGGGCTCTGCGCGCTCAAATACGTCCGCGGTACGCGCCTCCTATGCTCTCGTGATTCTAGGTATTCGTTGAGTTGATACAACGTTGCACGTTTATTTATTTTCAGTACATTTCAATAGCATAAATGAAATCTTATAATGTCTTCCTTAATTTTTATAGAAGGCTTATGTTGCTATATTAATACAGTTTCTTTATGTTAAATATACGATAACGTGCAGAGACGAGAAATTTAATGTTTTTTTTTTTTTTTTCAAATTTCGAAATGACGTATAATTATATCTATCCCCCATGCCGCTGTGGTGTCAATTATATTATAACTAGCACATCAGTTCGGTATAATTAATTTTATCATTACGTTGTATCAACTCTTAGCATGTACTGACTGTTGGCACAACAATATTCTGTGTGGCGGTACTGGCGGCGCCGGAGGCCATGTAAAATATTTCTGCTAAAGCATTCATCGTGATCGCCTGCCTGATCGCACGCTCTACGTTACGCATCACCAAACTTATCCTTACACCCTGCTAGGACTTTAAGCTGAAAGTAGTAAGGACTATTTTAGATTAACACAGGTACTTCCAAACTAGTACAATAACTGCGATTGTGTGTAAGCCGATTTGATAGTCCATAGCCTTTCGTCTGGAAATTGTTTGATACCCATTCGCAGGAAGATGAAATTAGACAATCAATAAATCTTTTATTCAAATCACATTCGCTGATACATTCTAAACTAATAGACGTTTTTTTGTCAAAATGTAAAGCCTAATAGTCTCACATTTGCCATTAATAGTAAGGATAGAAAAAAAGAGAGACGAAAAGGTGGGAAGTACAAATTAGTGAACACGACAAACAAATTAATACGTTAATGCGTCTGCACGTATTGCGGTCGAAGTGGAAACAGCTGGTGTTAAAGCCAAAATGTTTGGTTAAGGGAATGAGACGCATAGGCAAAACAGTTTTCATCAATTTAACTTTTCATTGCCTTCTATATAAATTCATTACTCATTGAAAACAACTAATTTTTATATTTTTATCTTTATTCAGTTTTTATTTTTATTCATTTGTGTTGGTTCTATGATTTTCTTGAATATAATATGACAATTAAAAAAATATGTATACGAATGTTAAATATAAAAAATGTGAAACATATCTTCAGTTATATTTTCAGACGCTAATAATGTAATTTGTATACTCTATAAAAGTATACGAAAGTTTTTGGATGATATTTCAAAGAATTTTAAAACTGTTAGGATAATTCAGTAAATGTTAATCGTGGATTATTGTTACAGATTTTTTCTAAAATTCTTCCTGAAGTGCAATCAAAATTGTTTGAAAAATGCTGGCAACCCCCGAGATATGAGAAGATTTCAAGTAAGTAGTAACATCGTATAAAAAATATATTAACGAATGAACCGTGTTTATTTATCTACTTCATAACGTAATTGAAAACTAGAGCTCTTTGAAATAAAATTACCTCGCATTTTAAAATATTTGAATTATTACTTTTGAACTTAAAGCTGTTTTATTTAGGCCTATGTTTTATCTTTAAATATAATTACAATCTTAACAAATACAAAGTTCATTAGTATTATGGACTTTAGTTTATATCATACTTTCCATTATGTTTATGTCATTCACAAATAAGTAAATGTCGTATGCCAAAACTTATAAATAAAATAACGATACCTGAGTACCTGAATTTAATTCCATATATTACTTAAAGAATTAAGAATGTTGAAACTCGCTACTTTAGAGGTGTTATCTTCTCAAGGTCCGACTGTAATTATTCGCGCTGTCGACAGGTAAATGGTTGCCTGTTTACTAGACGTTGAAAAAAATTACCGTGTACCGCGCACGACTCCTTCAGAAGAGGGCAAATGTAGAACAAGTTACAAGCGAAAGTTTTTTATCTGAAAATTTGAATGCTGAAGTTGTTATTTAACTTTCTTGAACATTTTTTCATTAATCGAAAATCGAAAAAGAAAAGTTAATTCTTAAATAATATTTGTATGAAGCTGATATTTCAGTAACTACACCAGCATCGGTTTTAAAGCTTTAAAGATTCTTTCACTAATTGGGACAAATTATACTCCGAATAATTTGTAGTACTTAAATATAAATGATAATTTAGTATTATGTTTTTAAAAGATAATTTGATATAATATTATGCAATGTAATACGTATAACTTTAAGGAAATGGTTTATCTTCAATGAAAAAAAGTTACATTTGAACCTTTCCAATGTAAGTAATAAAATGTCACCATTTTTTTCGATTAAATTTTTATGAAAATAATGACAAATTATTAATCTCGTGCCACTTATAAATTGTGCCAGTCAAACGGTGGTATCACCCTTGCTAAAGGAAGGGTTGCGTTCACGATTCCTGAATATTTGAAACGCCACCAATTTAGGGGAGGAATGAAATTAAATTTATTTATACGATTTTATCTGTTACATTTCTTTAGACCTGTTCTTTCTGCTTAAAGTAGTGATGCTTTAAGTGTTTTCTAAAGTTCACGTTCGACTGAGTATAGTTCAAGGGTATTGCTGTGACCGCTGATAGAAAATTTTTTTTAGACAAATAGTTACATGTAATAGACACATTTGTGACGTGATAAATACGCATAAGCCGCAAACGTTTCACTTGAATGCATTCCGACATGTATCAATTTACACACTTCAGTGCGCACTATGCCACGACGTATTTCATAGTCAAACTGAACTTTCGCAAAGTCACATAAATTAATTAGCGTCAACCCTGACGCGGTTGACGTTAAAGGTGCAGTCACACTTAAGTCTACTTATGAGTACAAATTTGCTTCCACAGTTGGCTGAGACATATTTGTCTTGGGTGTCCTAGTACAAACTTTAACCAAATATAAAGCTTAGACATATACGTATAGTGTTCATTTCAATACACGGTTTAAGCGGGTGTGCATAGCTATGTCTATATTTGGGCTTTCTGTGTGTCATTGAATAATTCAGTGGTCGTTCCCCCGTTTCAAGGGTAAGAATATATGGGTGTAATATATAACACACATTTGCGGGCGGATGTTGGAATCGACGAAATGCAATCTTTCACTATTCGCGTAGTAATTTAAAAATTTCACACTTAAAACTATATTTAAAAACGTGCATTTAGTTACGTTGGCAGTAATTATTTTAATACATTATGCGTAGTATTTTTTATTGTATCAAATGTGTTTAAAGTTAATTTAAAATGAGTTTGCGCTAGCACGCAACAGTATTATGCATCGATTTTCGGTATGATTATCTGTATCAAATCGTTAGGCATATGCACATAATGCAGTTCCTTGCATACCTATTGGAAGACTTTCGTCCATTTCATACGGTACCGAGACATTGGCTCCACCTCCCAAGGGACTCTCCCTTTCGATTCCCTTTATGTGAATGCGTGCGTGTGTGCGCGCCCGCACACATAAAAAACTATGGTAGAGTGTACGGCGGTGGGTTTTATTTTTAGTGACTCACCTTGACTTTTACGCGCCACCATTTAGATTTCTTATAATAATAATTTTACTCTTTACTTACATGCACATATGTCTAATATTCAGAAAGTAATATATATATATATTTTAATGGATGAATTAACATGAACATCTATTCTATTATCATATATCGGTACGAACTGCACAATGAGTTAGATGACTACAAAGTAATGCGTGTGTCCTAAGCCGATGACATGATTGTTAGTAAAGTAGACAGTCGGTCTATTTAACCTACAATAATCTAATCAGCCTTGATTTTTCTCGTGATGTTTTCCGTAATAAATATTCATAAGGCATGTATATTGAATGATTCACACTGTTTTCAATTTTAGGTGGTAATATCAACACAAGTGATGGTTGATGGTCCCCTTCTCGCGATATCCGACAATATGTTCGTGCACAACAACAGTAAGCACGGACGACGCGCAAAACGCTTGGACCCGTCTGAAGGTACTGACGCCGCGCCAGACAATAATTGTACGTTTTCTTTTTATTTTATTTTTTTTAATTTTCATTCATTTACTTTTATTATGTACGTACTTGGTATGTGCCAGTGCTTCGTTCTTTTGCTTACGTGTGGATGTCTCGTGGGGTGCTATCGTCAGCTTACGATTCTTTAACTTTAAAAACTAAATTTATGCAAAGCAATAATGCAAGGACTGAGGTTGCTGTATGTAATAATTCGAGCATCAATTAATAGCAATCGAGTAAGACAGTGTTCTAAGAACGTGAACGCTCTTTTTAACCGACTTCAAAAAAGGAGGAGGTTTCTCAATTCGACCGTATATATTTAATTTTTTTTATTGTATATATTTTATTGTGTTCGTGGATAACTTCGTCGCTTATGAATCGATTTTTGTAATCCTTTTTTGTGGGAAAGGAGATATCCCAAGGGTGGTACCATGATCAGGAAACCCTGATTTGATGTTGGCATCCCAGAGAATTCGAGGGCCATCATTATATGTTATAGGTATTAACAATGTTTTTAATTTTCTGATTGAAGTCAGTTTTTTTTTTGTTAAAAATTATGCTTGTTGTTTAAACAAAGCTTTAAAATGTTCACAGTGTTCAAAATTGAAATTAGTTTATTAATACTATAATATAGTTTTCGTGTAAATACTAGGAATCATTAATGTTATGTTTTTATTTGAAATATTATACCCAGATAACACGAATAACACTTTTCTACCCATCTATATGGCATTATATTTTAGCAAATAACGTTGATATGATTTTATATGAGATCACGCAAGCATGCGCTGAATGCTTTAGTTGTGAACGAAAATCGCAATACGTTTCTAGAATGTCTACATTAAATAATGGTAGGGTCGATCGGGAACAAATGTGCAAAAGTCATAATACTCCGTTATGGGGTGTCGTTTGTATGCAAGGAATCACTGTAGACATTTCGCAAGGACCTCGAGCGTAGGGTGGAGGGGGTGTTGAGGTGGGCATGAAGAGAAAAGGGATAATTTAGTGTGAGATTATTCCTTTCAAATGTTTGGAAACGTCAAATGTTTGGCTGTGGTCAGTTTATTCTTAGATTTTTATTTGTTTGAACTACATTTTTTTATGGTCGTCACACTTTCGTTGTTCTGTAAATATGTTAATTTGAAAATATTAAAACAAAAACTCGACATATATAATAATAATAAATCAAGTCAAATCACATAAATTGCGACTTTGTAATACCTTTCTAAATAAATTGTTAATTGTTTGGATGAAATTTAACAAGAAATAATGGAGCAGTGTCAATTATTCAGGACCTGTGACTTATATGTGTGCACATAACAATAGTATAACCATCAATTTCTATCGTGTTTTATAAGTTGGAGAATAACATGAAAGCAAAATTTTGTACGGAAGACTTGGTTGTAGACTAACCTTTTTAGTAATAATCTATAATACAAAATAATAATAAAAATCTTGGTTGTAATAATATCTTCAACATAATTTACGAAATTAAATATTATTTCGTAAAAATTTGTTTCGATTAGAAAGGAGGCCACGACGGGAAATATTTTATTAGCCAAATTAAAAAGGAGTCGACTGCGTAATCTTCTTTCGTCCCCTTAAATTCACTTTCTCTTCTCGTCTTTATTACCGTGTCGTTTTGTTCGCAAGATTTGAGTTTCCCCCTGTTGTCTTCAGGCGCGTATCCCCCTTACTACAACCTTCTTGCATCCGTACTAACACTTCGATAATGTCATAACAACCATTAAGCGTTAACGCTATCTCTAGCTTTATTGTTCGTAATTAAAATTCATTTTCAATTATTGTCGTCGATTCCTTCGTCCCTTCTTGGTAGTTTGGTGTAACTTTTACGACTCACAATTGTCCTTTTTCCGGAACCATCTAATATAAACGTTCAAGCAGGACGGAATTAGTTTTAGTGGTTCGTTTATTCAACTTTTTAAGTCTTTGGACATAAAATTTGCTTCCAACTTTATGTAGAGTCTGGTTCAAAGTACTTTATGGCGACGATACCTCTCGTCGTATTACTCGTAAACGTTATTTACAATGTTTTAGATAATACTTTATTGAATATTTAATTACCTGTTCCTTTTTTTATAGAATAGTCTTCTTTTTAGTAGCAAAATGCAAATACCGTTTATTTTATTTATCTTAACAGCAAGCCATATGCTACTACTTTTTTTTATTTTTGTCAGTATGCTTTGTATGAAGCCAATAGAAGATAGTTCATTCGAATTTGTGTAATATGAATATGGTGCTATTTGTAAATAATGTCTTTTAAATTTATTTTTTATGTTTTTTAAATCTTATTACAAACAGAAATGACACTAAATTACAAACAGAAATGTCTGTTTTTGAGTGTTTTTCGTTCTACTTTACATTGCAAAACCCCAACGTGAATCTGAAAGAACTTCGAATGGAGATATCTTATTCGTTGAATTACCATAGAGAATACTTTTTCTAACAATTATCGTTATTGTGTTAACTATTGTATCAATTTGTCAAGAATCACGTGGTTGTTTTCTGCGAAACGCTAATGTTTATATTTCATTCTGCCATATGTCTACAGCAGGTCTTTACCCGCCTCTGCCCGTCGCGACGCCTTGTATCAAGGCTATTTCGCCGAGTGAAGGGTGGACCTCTGGCGGGTCGACTGTTATTATAGTGGGTGACAACTTTTTCGACGGCCTCCAAGTCGTCTTTGGGACGATGCTAGTCTGGAGCGAGGTGAATATGATTGCTCGGTTGAAATTGTTCACTCTGCGTCGAGGGTTTTACAGTTAGTAACACTTTCAGTGTACTAGTATTGATGTAGGTTTTTGTTAACAGTTGATAACATCTCACGCGATACGAGTTCAGACCCCACCACGGCATATACCCGGCGTGGTGGAAGTGACGCTTTCCTACAAAAGCAAGCAGTTTTGTAAAGGCGCTCCTGGAAGATTCGTATATGTTTGTGAGTACATCTTCGCTTGGAAATTTATAATCTTTTCTACATTATAATAGATACATAATAATGGCTAGGTAAATTTTATATGTTAATCAGAAATGTTTGACACTGACAATAATATATGCCTTCGCTATGTGTTTTTTTTAATTTGATGGGCAACAGTATTTAATCATGTCTCTAGATAAGAACGATCGATAATTTAAATTGCTTATAAATTTATGTGAGCTATTTTTAAAAAGATATTTGTATTTATTTCGTATACAAACGATATAATTAATCTTTAATAAATCGGTACAGTATTTAAAGAATATCGCGAAATATTCGCGGGCAATTTTGTTGTCCAAAATAAATTACGACACAAAAAATCGCTTCATATTATCCAGCGCCGTTTCTTCCTACAAGCAATCCGATTGGCGAATTTCTAACGCTATCAATCAATTAGCCGTCGTTAGCGGGTCAAGTAATGATTGGTTTGTTTTTTCCTGTTCCGCATAGCAGCTCTCAACGAGCCAACGATTGACTACGGATTCCAGAGGCTGCAGAAGCTAATACCGAGGCATCCCGGTGATCCGGAGAAGCTGCCTAAGGTAATTTTAGTTATATCGACCCTAAAGCTGCGGTAAATAGGACTAGGTATGGTCAGGTTCGAATCCTAGTAATGATCAACAGGTGAACATCGGCCAGTGCATTGTATTGGATCTCTTGCGCGCTGATTTGCTGACGGTCTTTTGTCTTCGGCAACAAGGCGCACCGACCGGAGTCTAAACAGGCTCAGTAAAAAGTTATCTTTGTTTATTGCTATTAGTAATGAAATTTGATGACTCGATGGTGCAGTTGCTAAGCCATTGGCTCCGGAGCCGGGGTCGTCGGCACGATTCAGACATGGAAAAAGTATTTGTTTGATCCACAGATGATTGTTCTTCCAAGATTGACATCATGCAGGTTGTCAATCATATACAGCCTAGCCAATACAATTAACAACATTCATATGTTCTGACGACCCCACCTAGGTGGGATAGAAACAAATTTAAAGTATACGTATATGTCACTGCTGGGCAGAGGCTTCTGTACGCAGGATATCAGGGCATAGTCCAACACGCAACCCCACTGCGCATCGGCTTGCTTCATATATCTTCGAAATTTATTATTGTTATTGTAATATTAGTTATTATTTCCAAACTTCAAACCACGATATCCTCCTTCACCGCTGAGCGCGTGATAAATCAGCACTTAAAATTAACAATGTAATTGGTGCTGACACCGGGATTTGAACCCAGTTTGCTCGAGTATGAATTAAAAGCGAAAAAACTGTCAACAGGAAACTATTAGCTCGGGTCCCTGAGCGCCCTTATCCGTATCTTGTAAGATCTTTTTTTTAAATGTTCCCATTTTCCGAGACTGTGGCGCGCTCCTTTCAACAGCGTTGAAACAGTTTCGAAAGACTGCAGGCTTACTCGTATAATATACATACATACATTTTAGGCAAGTGGTGTTGCGTGGTGCACTATGCCTTAATGCCCTCTGTATAGTGGAGGCCTTTGCCCAGCAGGGAGACTATATAGGCTGTTTATTTATCTTCTTTTCTTCACAGAATTTAATACATTACCCTAAGGCAAAGAATAAAATGGTGTAAGATCTAAAACAATTAATTTGATAGGGCCACGCAACAGTGTTCACTGATGTACGACTGGACAGGTCCATCCGGGTAAGTACCACGACCTCACAGAAGACCGGCGTAAAGTAGTGAGTGAGGTAGCCGGGGCCCACTTTATTTAAAGGTCGTGACGCATTTGCAACCGTACGTGTATAACAAATGTCCATAGGCAGCGTTTATCACTTAACTTCAGGTAAACCACCAGCTCGATTGTCACTTTCTTACATAAAAAATGGTAAAACAATGTAATACAAACAACTTTACATGGTCATCATTCTTTGTCAATATTGAATACAGTCATCCGATAAAGTCGTACGGAGTTACGGACTTTCTGACGTTTGCAGGAGATAATCCTGAAGCGGGCGGCGGACTTGGCGGAGGCGTTGTACTCGATGCCGAGGAACAACCAGCTGCTCCCACGGTCGCCGCCCCCCACCACCACCTTCAACACGTACGCACAAGACGCGGCGTCCCACCAGTGGACCGAAGGTTGGTGCGCCAGCTTGCTACATCCAATTTTCAGCTTCAAAGGGGATGAAGCTCTACCGAGTTAAAGCTCGTTTCGTTATTTATCAACCGACCTCAAAAACGGTGGAGCTTCTCAATTCGACTGTATTTTTTTTATGTTCGTTACCTCAGAACTTTCGACGGAGTGTACCGATTTTGATGATTCTTTTTTTTTTATGCGGTCCCATATTTGGCACTAGATCTTGGGCTTCAGAGATACGAAGGGAACTCCTGAAAATTAATTATAAATTTAATACAGAGCGAGATGTTTGAAACTTTCTTTTTTGTAACTAAAAAAATTACTTGTTCACATACGTACAAAATATAATGCGTTGAAAACTTCTATGGGCACGTTGGATAATTATCGATGGGGAGAAATTCATAAGTTGGCGTCACCGACGTGCCAATGCAATGTTATGCGTTTTGTCATTGGAGTTGGTCACGTTAAAATTTTGATATCATTTGCTAACATCACATTGAGAATTTAAGTTTGAAGTTTTGTCAACAGTCTTTTTTTCAATGCAATTTTTTATATTACAAAATAGGTTTGTTCTGGTTTATACGTAAGATGTTGTCGTAATTTCATAAAACCATGTTAGTTAAATTATTATAGACTCTGCACTTAAGATGAAATTTGAAGATTTCGGATAATTTCGCCTCTCCTAGGATTCGGACCTGCGCCTTCAGGGTTACTCGTCCACATTCTCATATCGTGAAAAACTCGACGTTGTAAATTTTTAACATAAACGCTTCATCATCATCATCACCATTTCAGCCTGTTTGAGTCCACTGCTGAACATAGGCCTCCCCCATGGACTGCCACGAACTACGATCCTGAGCCACCTGCATCCATCGACTTCCCGCACATTTGCACAGGTCGTCACTCCATCTAGTGGGGGTGTCATCCTACAATGCAATGGCCAGTACGAGGCTGCCAGTGCTAAGAACCACCGGATAAACGCTTATTCAATTTAATTCGGAAACAAAACAGCTAATCGAGCATTAGTACGGGTTCATCAAAGCCGGTTGAACTAGAGTCATTACGTGTACACATATAAACGGTACTGTGGCGAGCGATGCTAACGCGATTTTGTGTTGAACCCAGGCTTTTTCTTTTAGAGGAGTACGCGCGCGGCGGCGGGGGCTCCGTGTCGCCAAGGTACTGCGCCGGCGCGGCGACGCCGCACTACGCGCAGCACCTACGCCCCGCCAACCTCGCTCTTCAACTCCACCTCCCGTGAGTATAAGCCAGACCACAACTCCAGACTACACAAGTATAACATAACCAGACCTCAACCTCCATCTCTAAAGACTTCATGGGTATAACATAAACAGACCTCAACATCCACTTTTAAATCCTATGGAAATATAACATAACCAAACCTTAACCTCCACCTCTAAAGCCTACACAAGTATAACATAACCAGACAGACATCAACCTTCACCTCTAAAGACTACATAAGTTTAACATAACTAGACCTTTACCTCCACTTCTAAAACCTACATAATTATAACATAACCAGACCTCTACCTCCATTTCTAAAGCCGACACGAGTATAACATAACTAGACCTCTACCTCCACTTCAAAGACCTACAGAATTATAACATAACCAGACCTCAAACACCAATATAAAAGATAACCGGCTTCTGAGACCTCTACCTGTAAAGCCTACACAAGTGCAACGTTTGTATAAAAATATGATAGCAACATCATACCGTAGCATGCCGACAAAATAACTGCCATCTTATCCTTCGTACCCACCTCCACCATACACTACTGAAAAGACCTACTGAAAGATTGAGAAAAATTACGTTTTGCTATTAGAAGCACTGTGCCAAATCCACGCAGCTTTCGCTGTTGCTGTGATTTATAGGGGACCGGCATGAAGTAAAAGTAGTTACACTTTTCTATGTTTCTACTTTCCTTAACCCTCCTCTACTTATCCTGCCTTTACATGGTGTGTACACATATGCTTGTTAGTTACGCATACTATAATACACTCCTTTACTATATCGCCTCTGCCCGATATACGCAACGTATCGAGGAACCTTCAACATTGTTGGTCATATCATAGGGATAGTTTTTTAAATGTATTCATTGTCATTTTTTTAAAATGGAATACGAATATTGTTTTAATGTATGAGAACTTGTATTCTAGAGCCGTTTTAAATTTAATTGCACATTGATAAGAACCCAAAACTGGAATTATTATAGGCATAAAATCTCGTGTCTCGTGCTGTAATCGGGAAACATTAAGTTGGCAGCTGCCAATGAGTCTTGATACGTTTGATACGTTACTTTCGTATAATACTTTCAATCGAAATCTAATATTTTCGATAATTTGTCGTCAAACAGACATAGAGAAACGTAGAATAGTTAAAAGTTAAGTGAAGATTCCTTTCTCCACTTAACTTTCATCTATTGTCTTACTATACATACTTATTCGATGATCATGTATTACTTACTCATTTGTTGAGAGCTCTTTCCTCTAACCTCTAAATGTAATTATAAACCTCTTGCCTAGTGCCATTAGGGGCATATGCAGTCCCTTTCTGGTCAGGTAATAGAACATCATATCTGCAGTAACTCTAATGATAGTGTTTATTACGACGAAAGAAATGAGAAATGCACGGTCGAGTACCGGGCAAACATCCATGCAAAATGCAACCCGGCCCATATGAAAGGCAACACTGTAAAGAGGCCGAGCTAAGGAGCGCTTTCCTCTCTGTAAAGCAAAGCCTACACAGTTGGCATTATTTATCCGTGCAGTGTTAGTAATGCTCCACTTTTTACTTCGGTTAATTCCTTTTTGTGAATTCAATGGACACCTTTGTTCTTGTTTTCGTCTTTGAAAATTTCAGACCCATTCTCTCTTCTGCATGCTTTATTACACTATACGTGTTAATAAATATATGATAAATATTTTAAATTATAGCATGTTCATGATTGATCAAGTCCGTACAGTTATCTGATTCAATTTTTGCTGGTCAATTCGAATGGCACAGACAGTTAAATGTTTCACGTTCTTCGTTGCAATAAATATTTATTTAGAACAAAAATATCACATCAAACGCAATAATCTATATTCGTTAATATATGAGATGATACATTCGTGTTTCCTATTAACACTTAACGGTAAAATAAACACTGGCCATCTCAGTGAAGGACGACCCCCCACTAGATGGAGTGATGACCTGTACAAATATCTGGGAAGTCGATTGATGTAGGTGGCTCAGGATCGTATTTTGTGGCAGTCTGTTGGAGAGGCCTATGTTCAGCAGTGGACTTTAACAGGCTGAAATGATGATGATGAAAATAAATTCTGTACACATGTAATACTTTTTTTTTTTTTATGCCAAAAGTTGTCAAACGAGCAGACGGTTCACCTGATGTTAAGTGAATACCGCCGCCCATGGACATCTGCCACACCCGAGGGTTACAGATGCGTTGACAACCTTTTGAAAATTGGGCTCCGGCTACCTCACTCACCAGACGAAACGCGAAAGTATTTATAATACTTCCACTTTACGCTGGTCTTCTGTGGGGTCGTGGTACTTACCCGGACGGGCCTGCCCATTCGTGCAACAGCCGAGGCTGCTGCGTGGCCCTACCACCGTAGATGATACTGTGATATTATTTGAAATTCGAATGAATAAATGTACAGTGATTAAAAGACGATTTAACCGACCGAGACGACGATAACCTAGGTCCACAAGGGTAGACGATGGTGCAGGTTAGATTCGGCCGCGCTGAAAATTTTTGACATTTAGAAAATTACGTTTAATTTTCTACTTAAGTCCAGGTCTAGCACTTAAAAAGAAATTCACCAAAAACGACTGTTTCCTTACGCAGGAATGGGCGGGCTGGTCTCATCCCCCTTCAGCGTGAACCCGTTCTCGCTGCCAACGTGCAGCGCGCAACAGTACGCGCAGACCGCGCCGCTCGCCTCCAAGTAACGTACACCTTCCGCTCACCGATTGCCAACGATCGATGCGTATGCGATGTCAATACTGTCATTCGCAGTAATATCTTCATTCGCAGCAGTATATTCATTCGCAGCAGTATATTCATTCGCAGCAGTATCTTCATTCGCAGCGGTATTTTTGACTACAACAATAGCAACTATTTCGGCGAATGCTTCATTTGCAAGGACACTACCTATCGTTACGGCACTTCATTCCCAACAAAATGTTTATTCGCATTTTGCGTTTGTTGTGAAGTTTTAAGTTTTGATTATATGATATTAGTAAATATCTTAAGTTTTGTTGCGTTAACAAGTACTTCGAAGCTTTTTTTATCAATTTCTTTACTATGTCTGTCACTGTCCCTTGGTGTACAATAAAGTATATTTTACTTTACTTTATGACTAAAATACTAATGATATTGGAAGACACGCACAAGTGTTTACAAAAAATGTTAAAGGATAATATTTTCCAAACATAACGCTTATATTGACTTTTATTCAAATACTTTAATTAATTTCACCGTTAACATTGATATCGCTTAGATTTTTAGGTATTTCACAAATATATTGTACATTGTACTTTAATTTGTGGCGGCACCGCCATTTATATTACTTGTATATAACTTTGTAATTTTCTTGTATATACTAGGATAATATCTTATATAGCGATAATTCATAGTATGTTTTCTAGATGAATATTTTGCCTAGATTTTTATATACGAGTCCCTTTTCCAACCTTTTCAACTGCTCAGAATTTTGAGTTAAATACTATGTAAAATAATTGAATCAAACTGTTATCAAACTGATTGCGTGTCGATGTTTTGTTTCTTGTAAAGTCTGTGATATATTTATTGTAAGTGATGTTTGTAAATTTTAATGTAATCTGTTCGTAAATCCTCTAACTTGATTGGACTTAAACGAAATCTATATTAAGTTTGTTCATAAGAAACGAATGATGTAAATATCGTTGTACAAAGAAACTATCATATCTACAAAAACATATCGATTACTAAAGAATATGCATTCTATTTGTAACGACTAAGAAATACAACGAAACCGAATGATTGCGCAAAATAGAAAAAAAATTGCCAACCTTCCCTTGAATGTATTGAACATGGTAACAACAAACGTGTTCGAGAATTCCCTCAGAAAATAATGTATCTAGTTACTTATATTTTAACATTGTATATCAGATAAGAATTGTAAATTGTAATCGTTGACAAACAAAACTAACAACATACGAAAATAAATCACATATGAATAAAATGCAGTTTCATTTATTCCAACGCATTTGAAAGATTATACTGTAAAGAAGAATGTATTCTGTATTTCTTCAGAACCAATTAAACTTGTTTGGTTTATAGTAAAAACCATTTCAATTGTAATTTGCTCGTTTTACATTTGACGACAGTAAAATTTCGCGTGTGAATTAAACAAATTAAATGACATGAAGTACACAAAACGTCTTATTCAAGCATACGTAGCATAAGTAGCATCCTAAATTGTTCCGAATTCATAACTCTTGAAGTCCAAATGTTGCAATTTCAACTAAAGCACTTAGGCAACGCTACCAAGCTCGACCCATCCATCATACTAGTGACTCAAACAAAAACACCGTCGCAAATAGTCCGGCATCATTGTGATTTCACACATGCTAACGTTTGCACCCCAACTGTAATATTATACTAACTATTTTTGTACTTCTCCGGGGGTAATATTTTCCATTGTTAACGCTGACTAGATAATGCATGGGTTTATCGCTGCTCCTAATTGTGCTGCCGAAGAATGGGGATTGTATTACACGAATTAGCATAAAAGGAGGCTACTAGTGTTTTGCAGACTCGCTCTTTTGTAAATATAAATTAATTATGATAATTTCGAGTAGTATTTTGAAGGAGGGTTGAGTGCTTCACTTGTCTACAAAAGTTTATATTACAATCATTTTTAGATATTTTTTCCAAAAACAAATCGAGTACGCTGTGGACCCTTTGTAATGTAGTGTCACTACATTGGCTGCCAAATTCTAGGATCTGAAAAGATTAAATATTGTTTTTAAACTACTAAGAGCATTTCGAATGAATGAGTGAAGTGTACCTTGTTTGTTCCTTCATCATTAAAGAAAACTATTTAACATGCTTTATCGAGTTTACTAAAAATCATGGGAAATTTTAATACTGTTGCAAACATGCTAACAACAACTTATTGGAATTGCTTTCCTCGAATATTGTTAACAGGCGGTTCGTTGTCGTCCCATTGCAGACGCGTGTGGTACACGTGGCGGATTGTGGCACGCGTTTGGATGACATCCCTCTAAGTTTTTCCCAATTTGCTAGAAAGCGATTATAGTGAAGCGCAGATGTGTTTCAGAGGAGATTTAGAAATGTACGTAATTCATTTATACAAAAGGAGTTATCAAAGCTCTAAGATGACGGAAACTGTAAGGGACTGAATTCATAATTGGCATAGCTAAAAACTTCTGTTTCCATACATAACGTTGACTAACGTTGATGCTAGTATAAAAATATTGTTATTAATCTAATGTTATTAATATTCATATATAAATAAAAACGTCCCGTATTAAGTAGTAACATTGTAACAGTTTATTATTCACTGTCGTTGCTAAACTGTTGAAATTATTTTCCCAAGAAATATTCGGAAATTACTTGTGCGATCTTATGTTTCGATAATAACGTTTAAAATCAGTCGTCACACGGAGCCGATTAAAAAGGTTCGGCGTGTTGCAATATGACACTCGTTGCGTTGGACAAGTGACATTTTTATCTGTCCGGACATATTTGTCGTCCCTCTGTGCTAAGTGAGTTAGCGGACAAATCGTAGTTGCAGCGCGTGCCGGCCACTCGCCGTGTGACCGCGCATTACCAAATTAGCGTTCGGTGTGCGCCCGCCCTTAAATCGTATTAAGTGGGGGCGGGTCATGTTACTAACTGGAATTGTTTCCCGGGGAAATTTTAACGCGCGCAAATGTGATCGCGATCGCCCGCGTCGTTTCAACGAGACTGTTGGAATCGTAACAAAAAAATCATTGAGAGCTATAAAATTAGAATGTTAACGAGTCGTTAACATATCACAAGTTGAAGTTATCGATAAATATTACTAGATTTTACTATGTTCATATGATGCCATATTTTTAATTATCTTATAAATATTTATATTCAACAATAAAAAAAAGGAATCGTTATTCAATACAAGAAATTTGAGTTCATCGTTTCTCACAAACTCGTGCTTAATAAACGCATCCAATTGAATATTTTTTATGGTGCGGTATCATTTATCACTACTTAAAACTTATGCACCTAGTTTTCTCGACCACTTCAATTCTGAGTAATTTTAAAATTAACTGAAAATTAAATCGGACCAGAAACACCTAACTTTCGTCTATAAAATTATGAATAACGATAGTATAATTTGTGTGTCTTTAAAAACGTGTCACAATATCGATTATTTATTTGAAACATTCCTTAGAATTCGACACACAATAAGTAAAGACAAAAGAAGTTGATATCAACAAGTGTTTCCAACGAATCAACATTGTAGACGTGCACAGTTGACTTAAAAACCGGGAAAGCTCGTGGAAAATAAAACAAAGCGTGAAATGCGTAAGAAAGTCCTTCGGCGGGTGGATTGGGATGGGGGGCGAGGGGGTGGCCGACAATAGGTGTACAGATAACTTTCCTTCTATAGTAGAGTCAATACCGACCCTAGGGAGTTTTACCCTCGGGGTTCGGTCGCTTGGGAAAACTAGACCCAACAATATAGAAAAGGACAGATTTATACATCGCCTGCGAGCGGGAAGAGAGCGCGATCGTACTTATGTATTAATAATATATAAAGGAAAAATGTCGAGGACGTGAGCCGGGTGATATGTTGCGACTGTTAGCGAGAGAGGGATGGATGACATCAATTTGTCGTGTCGTGATGGGGTTTTATTTTGTTTCAACGTTTTGGAATTTTTCTTTTTTTAATGTTTACCTTTTTTCTTGACAGCCTGAATTTTTTATGCGTCCACTGCTAGTTTTATTAGTGACAGTTTCGTTCAAGGCCGAGCCGGGTATATTAGACGCTTGTCTTGTACAGATACAGAAATCCATCCATCCTTTTTAATTAAGAAAGAAATTAATCTTCATCTAAAGATATATAGTTTTTAATGATATGCATATAAATGAACTGGTATGAATGAAGTGACAAATATTTAATTATGGATTACAATAACAAAGCTCATGTGAATAAAGTTTTATATTTCTAGGGACTCCTCTGTAGTAGAAAGAGTAGTAAGTAAAGCATTATTTATGTAATTTATTTATTTAATCTTTATTGTATCACCCACGATAAAGAAGAACAGAACACAAAAGGCACCTGTGGTGTGGTGAGATCTTTAGGTATGTGCAATAAATTAAAAGCAAATTAACTATACACTTTAAAAAATACATGTAAGTTTTACCGTGGCCCCATATAAAAAAGTGAAACAGCCACTTTATTATATGGGGCCACTTTTTGTGTAAGAAGATGGTAAGCGAGCCAGCGGTTGACCTGATGTTAAGTGATGACTTCCACATTTATGGAAATTTGCAACACCCTTAGGTTGCAGATGCCTTGCTTCCTTTTAACAAAGTGGCCCTCGGCTACCTCACTCACCAGATGGAACGCCGAAGTATGACACTTCCACTACACGCCGTTATTCTGTGTGGTCGTGGTACTACCCCGGACGGACCTGCCCATTCGTGCAACAGCGAACACTGTTGCATGGCCCTACCACAGGAGAAATTATTTACTCTAAAGGCTACTAGATACTTTAAAGTTGTAGAACGAAAACATTTTACAATCGGGCTGAAGTCAATAGCTCACAACAACGTTATCGCTTATCGTCTTAAATGTTTGCACAAACCAAACAATACAAACCGCATAATACCGTTGTAAAACAGTTATAAAGCGATACCGAAGCGGCACCGAGGCGTGTCAACGACGCAGGCGTTAAGCAAAATTGAGTGAGAGTCGAGTTAAAGTATTAAAAGTTTTCACCGAGCGATCTTTGTAAGCGAAGAGTTCGCGACGTAGAGGGCTAGGGAGGTGACTGTCACTAAGTGGGATTTGTCGATATTTACGGTACTGAAATTCAATACCTAAAATATTGAGTTATCGGATGAATTATAATGTGATGACATAATTTTAATTTTAAGATGTCGGCAAGATATAAATAAAGACTAAATATGAAAAACATTTCCTTTATATTTTAAGATTAAATTTTCAATATTCAGTTTTAAGATACGCAACAAAACTGCTACTTTTCATAATTGGAATTCTCACAAACATTTTGTTACATTTATTTACTACTGTTGCACGTGCGTGCAAGCGTGCAGGCTCGTGGGAAGAACCAAAAAAAGTATGACGAAGTAAAAGTGATAATTTTACTTTTCCTTTTTTTATGGTGATTGACATAGCCGGCGTCCATAAAGTGAAATGTTGCCAACAGTTTCTTCAAAAATACTGGTGTTGTGATGCACCTCTGCTCGCTTGCCGCTTAAAGTGAAAAAACTTCAATTTCTTTTATTTTTAATACAAATTATTAAGGTAAACTAAGTTAAAGTTATTAAACGGTATGCGTAATGAAAGTCCCCTTCCGCAGTGGCTGAGCTAAATAGGCTTTAGCGGCGGATCGTGGGTTCGATTCCCAAATAGGACAGGTAATTTCATGATCTACAAATAACTGTTCCAGTTCTGTCTATATATGCATTATGTTTTTGATTTGCCTCTACAATAATGGATAATGTTATCATATGGTGCCGATAGCGTATTTTAAAATGAACGGAACGGAAAAGGAGGAACTGTAAATGTCGTGTAAAACTAACTGCCTAATTCAATGTAAGTCATTGTTCACAGTACGTAAGTTGAACATTTTTATCTTTTAATCATTCACTTGTTCGCAGAATTTAATATTTTTTTATTTTTATCGACATCGGCTTTAGAGTGTCGATAAATAGACACGGCGAAGGCCCTTCTCTACTTCCTTAACACGGTGTAAGTTAATAATGTAATAGAATTACGAGGGAAAAACTGTTGAACTCCAGTGGAGCGAGTCGCGGCTTAATTGTAGCACTTTGTTTGGCGCGTCCGTCTCGACAAGGACTATCTATACGTATCTACGCGGGAAGCGTGTAACGTAGCACGCCACGTTAGGAAAATATTTTTATACAAGAGATCAGAGTTAAAGTACCGAATGATCTTAAGGTTTTTATTCATATAGAATGCTGAGAGTTCCAGGATCTGGTGACATGGATCCTATTAAAAAACTCGATGAAATGTGGCTTTAATCATCCTTCCCCGTTTTTGTTCCCATTCATATATGATTATATAAAATCAGTTTAGAAATGATATCGAGTTCGATATGTCGACAATTTTCATTTTCTGTTCTTGATTTGACCTAAGCTCACTATGAAATTTAGGCGTAAAAGAACTTTACTCGTCTGTATGTCGTGACCTGTTAACGTATAATTATATGTATCCTGCAATGTTCGCAACGTCGGGAATTTCTACAAAATAGTTTTATTTAACCTTACATACATAATAAAACTGCGATATGTTCCTTGGGTTTCACAAGGAATCTGTACTTAGTACGTATACAATAATAACGTGACATACAAATTATCCTTATGTACGTTGATCACTTCTATATACGTTAGAATGTAAGCAAATATATCTAGTTAGCAAGGTTTTAAACTGGACAATGCAAATGAAGTGCACACACATGTGGTAAGCTAAAAATGAAGACAAACTGCTTGAATATGCATGGACTCTAATAAAACTGAATAGGTTTCGCAACATTCCCTGTTGATGCCCCGGGACTCCAACAGGCAGGCAGAAGTTAGTTTCAGAAATCAAGCGAATTCAGTAGCAGTTTGCTAAAAATTAGGAATATGCGCTGTCAAAAATTTCCAACGGATATAGTGAACTGCCGTGAACTGGAGTGCTAGTCAATGAGCTCTGTTGGAAATTTTCCTAAAAGCCTCTAAAAATATTTTTCAAACTATTATTTTTTTGTATAATAAGTAGTATAGTAAAATAGTACGTATGTTACGAATTTAAATTCACTGATTGCGAAAAGAACTTCTTTTTGCCGAGGATTCTTTATAAAGAGTCTTAAGGCTATTTTGGTCACGATTTAAGCGTCGTTCTTTCCTTCGCAAATCTTTGAAATTAAGGTTCCTGTCTAATAATACTAAAACAATATATAAATAGGCATTTCTTATATTTACAACATTCAGTGACCATAAACAATGTCAGGAGTTTAAAATTAAAGTAAACACAATAAAATCGGTAAAAATAGTTTA